TTATTTTATTTTATTGTGTGTGTATATTAGCATTTGAATGTGCATACGGGTACGGAAGAAGGCCTGGAGACAGTGTCAAATTCCCTGAAGCTGGAGTTAAAGGCATTTGTGAGCTACCAGTGTGAGTGCTGGGAACCAACTTCCAGTCATCTACAAGAACAGCAAATGCTCGTAAGCACTGATTCATCTCTCCAGTCCCTAGTATTTGTTTCTGACAGCACAGGGCTTGACCATAAGAAGATATTTGTTCTAAATGTATTTGTTCCCCTCGTGTTTCTTTTCATGACATGCACTCACTCGAAAGCATTCGTAGAGCAACAGCATGAGTATAATATATTACACAGTATGTATGACTTACGGTATAGAACATATATTATAATACATAATGAGCAGCAGAGGAGCTGGTTCATTCTGAGCCTACAGGCAACACCTCTGCTAGAAGAGCTTTTGAATATCATCAACTTAAGGAAGTCATCGCCAGCCTGTCAGTTAGCTCTACTTGATTTGTTGATATTATCCTGTTTCACAACTATGTTAGAACTTGGATTTTTCTTATTCTTCAGTTTCCCTCCGAAAGCTTTGTTTTTCTTTCATTGATTGTTAGCTATTTTGTTTAGAATACCTTGCTAAAACCTGTTGAGAACTGAGTGTGTTTTAGAGACACTGTTTGTGTTTAATATGGAAAATTGATCTTGGGCTCAAATGCTATCAGTTTTGTATTATCTGCTTGGAACGTCCCCCTTTTAAGTGAATTCCTGGTACAGACAGAGGGACTAGCTACTGTTTACTCAAGTGGGTCTGCTGGTTATCAGCTACTGGCATGTCATGTGACCCTAACTTAAAACACCTTTATGTATAAGGTTTTCTTTGCTAGTGTTCACTTGGGCCTTAGAGTCCATTATTTAATGAAATTGTTTCATTATTTACCCAGCAAATTCAGTTCAGTGTAATTAAATAGAAGAGGCCCTTTACTGTCATCTAAGATTTTGATTGAGTATTTGTCATTATTGATTGTATTAGTGAATTTCTTTAAAAAAAAAACAAACTGCAACATCCTTTAAGTTTTCAAGAACAGTACTCTTTTGTTGTTAGATCTATGTGGTACTCATTTCATAAAGTTCAATCACGTGTGTGCGTGCGTGCGTGCGTGTGTGTGTGTGTGTGTAACAGGAGATTCATTCTGGATCGTGGTCACAGCTCAAATCACTGCCCACAAGGTTGGTTGCTGGATGAGTCTGTGACTCCCGTAAGTCACCCAGTGTGATTATTCAGTGCATAGTGGTTGCATCCCTGTTAGCTGAGGGTTCAGATGCAAAGAGTGAAGAATGAAGAAGGAAAGCTGAGGAGGAAAGAGGTGGTCCAGGAGAGAGTCGGTCACGGAAGTTCAGGGGTTCATGAAATGCTGCATCAAGATTTCCGAGGCGATAATCAGGCAGTGTTTATACTCTGAAACTAGCAACCAAAATAGTTGGATAAGATATTTTACCCAGCTTCTGTAGCGGTAAGCTCGGCCACGATTGATTGTTCCCAGTGGGGTTTGCATCTGTGTAAATGTGCAGTCTATCGATTTTTTTTCAAAAGAGAAAAAAGGTGAACACATTCATTTATTTTTTACACTAGGTTTCCTTTTATGGATCTTTTCCCTCCCCTCCAAAAAATATGGAGTGAGCCAGGGTGTTAATCCGTTTTGCTCTGGTGAACTCTGTCTCCCGATAGAGCTGCTCTCCAGTGTAGGGATGACTCTGACCCGACTGGCTGTGATTTTTTCTAGCCCATTTATTCCTTCACAGCTCTTTCCCATGCCTGAGATGAACAATGAATCCTTGTGCCAGCAAGGCGGAGATTCAAAGGTATCCAGTTAATGAGATGCAAAGCTAGGGGTGTGGTGACATTCAGTGCTATGACATGGTGCAGAAATACGGACATATCTAGGTGGGATCCACTTCTGCAGTAGTGGGGGCTTGCAGTGGGTTGTGGTTAGCCTTCAAGCAATGCATGGGACTCCAACGGAATGGAGACTTTGGGCCTCTGTACTTTTTCTAGGGTAGTTATTTTTCATAAGGCCCAGGTGTTTAATTTTTTCTTGAAGTTAACATGTGAAGCAACAGGTTTCTTGGCATTTAATACACATGTACCCTTTTCCCTTGTTTCCATCCACCCCTCCACCATACTCCCCCCTCCACCACATCCCCCCTCCACCACATCCCCCCTCCACCACATCCCCCCTCCACCACATCCCCCCTCCACCACATCCCCCCTCCACCACATTCCCCCTCCACCACACTCCCCCTCCACCACATTCCCCCTCCACCACACTCCCCCTCCACCACATTCCCCCTCCACCACATTCCCCCTCCACCATACTCCCCCCTCCACCACTGTCCTACCCTCCCTGCCCCCTTTCCAGTCTTCAACTCTTCCTTTCCCTCATGTCGCTTGTATTCTGTTTCTTTTCTCCTCCCTCCTCTCCCATATAAGTTCTTTTCTACTTTAATCTCTCTCTCTCTCTCTCTCTCTCTCTCTCTCTCTCTCTCTCTCTCTCTCTAATTTGGCTTTCTGAATATCGTTTATTTTGCTTAACATAGTGATCTCCTGTTATATGTATTTTCCTGGATAATCATGACCTTATTTTTCTTTATGACTGAATAAACCATTTTTTTTATACAAACTGTTTTCTTTTTCCATTCGTCGTGTTTAAATTTTACTGTGTACGTGTGTGTGTGTGTGTGTGTGTGTGTGTGTGTGTGTGTTTAGGACAATCTTAGTCTTAGATGTCATCTTCAGGACACTGTTCATCCCTTTTGAGACAGGATTTCTATTGGCCTAAAGCTTACCAGTTAGGGTGGACTGGCCAGTGAGCCTCAGAGGTGCTCCTGTCTCTGTTTCCCCAGTTCTGGGATTGCAGATTCCAGTACCTGCCATTTTCACATGGATTTTGAGGATTAAACTTGACCAGCTGAGGCACACCCCGCCTCGCCACTCTCTTGATGGACGTTTAGACTCACTCCATTTCTTAACTAGTGTGAACAGTGCAACTGTTAGAATGGACGTGCAAGTGTCTCTGTGGGCTGCTGACTTGGATCCCTGTGGGTGTACACTCAGGAGTAGTTGTGATGGGTTCGTTAATGGCTCTCCTCTCAATAAATGTCCATGGCCCAATCCCTAGAATCTATGGATATGACCATATTTGAAAAAAGGCAAGTTTTGTAGACATCATTAAGTTAAGGAAGTTGAGATGAAATCACCCGTCAGTACTGGGAGGGGTCCTCACCCCAAAGGCAGTTGTCCTTACAGTAGAAACAGTAGACGCACGAGCAAAGAAACCCGCATAAGACAAAGGCAGACGTTGGAATTATGTGGCCACAAACAAAGAATGCCTGAGATCTAGGGGTGGAAGAGGCAGGCTGGAGTGTCCCCTGGTTACTCAGGAAGCGGGGATGAAGACTACAGACCTGTTGAGGTCCCGAGCAGAAAGAATAAATCTCTACTCTTTTAAGCATTATGTTTGGAGTAATTTGTTATAGCAACCACAGGAAATGAATATGCTAAGTTGATTATTTAATTACTCTGTTAAGGTTTCTTTTTGTGTTGTTAGAATAATAATAATCTGGAGACACCAAAATCTCCACTTCAGTTTTATCCTCTGTCTAACATTCGTCCGTTTGCCTTTATGCCACAGTTTGGTGAAAACCGGAGGTAAGCTTTCCTAGGCTGACGCTGACTACCTCAGGTGTCCATGAAGACTATTTAATAAGGACTTATGCTAATTCTGAACAAATCAGCTTCAACATATGGTCTGCAGGGCCACGAGCTTGTCAGAAAAGTGTCGCTGGTCCTGAAAGAACGTGTCTATGGAGAGGAGATGTATTACAGATCCCACGGGTGGCAGCTTCCGTAACGGGTCATCCATTGGAGCAGGAGCTGGCCGCACAATCCCAGTGTCTGCCTTGGTTTAGGTTGCCTTCTTCAGACCTGCGCCGTCCTCTCCTTTTATCATTAGGACACTTGCCTTTGGGGTGAAGACCCATCCCAATAATGAAGGATGAATTCTTCTCAACCCTGTTGTGGCTGGGTTAATTCAGGCAACACACTCGCTGTGCCCACTTTTGATGGCCTTCCTGGGGGGGGGGATGCAGGTTAAGTTAACCTTGAAAGCCCTTTGTGTATCGCTATCTGCCCAATCTAAAGTATCTCCACTTATATACCCTTTCTTCTTCACTCCGTTTTCCTTCAGATCAGCTGTAAAACTGGAAATCTTATGAACGCGTATGTCCCCCTCCCCCAAGTTCAAAGAAAGTAATGTAGCACATGTTCTCAATAAACATTCATTAAGGAAGTAAACAGATAAATGAATACACATTTTGATCGGAGAACAACAAAATATTTATGTAGTTTGAGCTTGGAATCTGACTATAACGACAGATACTTTTTTTTTTCCCGACTTGCCACATCAATATCATTGAGTTCCAGGATGGAAAACAAGGGGATCATTAATTTACTAGATTAAGGAATGGCCCTCCTTCCTTTGGGACAAGCAAGGCAGAGATGATGACTGATGCACTTTGGGGGACAGGGAGCTCACGACTTCCCTGTTTGGGGTCTTTTCTGTTTCCCTTTCCCATTTCTCCCAGTCCTTGTGTTCATGAGTGCGGCATTTCCCACACCTGCTGCTGTGGAGGCCAGGGAGGACAGGAGCAGCCCAAGGTTCGCCCGAGCGCCGGCCTCGGCCACGCGCGCAGCGTCCCCGCTGCCGCGCGGTCACCTGTGTGGCCAGTGCCCTAGAGCGGCGCGCCCGCGCGCTAGTCACCAGCACCTCCAGATCCAGCGACACAGAACCCAGGCATTCCCTGCTTCGCATCACCCCGTGACACAGGCGGGACCCCATTTCCGTCCTGAACCCCTGGCACGGGACCGCCCAGGACTGCGCAGCAGGACGCAGCAGGTCTGGGGACCTGGGCTGTTGATTTGGGCGGCACCTGCGGAGGGCTGTGTAACTTCTCCAGGCCTCCTGCCACTTTGGAAACTGCCTGGGACTGCGACAGCAACCCCTTAAGCCCCGCGGGCCGAGAGAGAAGGGGGGTTGGTTTGAAAGACACAAGGGAAAAAAATGTGTTGTGGGGCGGGTTTAGTTTCCCACCCTCTTCCCTTTCCCCGAGCAAATTAAAAACAAAACAAATAGAAAAGGCACCCGGCCAGCCAACCAAAGCCCCAAGCCGAGCCCCAGCCGAAGCACTCCTTTAAAAGGATTTGCAGCGGTGAGGAAAAAACCCAGATCGGACGGAGGAATCCTGCTGCAAACTCAGGTATGTTGACGCCATCTAAGAAACTGGGTATTGGGGGAGAGAAAATACTTGGGGGGGGAAGAGAGAGAGAGAGAGAGAGAGAGAGAGAGAGAGAGAGAGAGAGAGAGAGAGAGAGAGAGAGAGAGAGAGAGAGAGAGAGAGAAACACAGGAGCACCTCCAGAGGCTCCGGACCTGGGGATATAGCACCTGAGTTCTGCTGTGGTTTCCTCTAGTGGTGTGTGCTTAAACAAACCTCCGTGGGTTTCTTCATCTATTATATTTAGAGGGTTGGATTAATATCTTTTCTGAGGTACTCTTAATAATAGCTCAGGTGTACTTCATATTAAAAAAATGTAGACTCTGAAATTGTCAGTCTTGCTAATTTCATGGTCTTGCGGTTGGGGTTCTTATGTGCACTTACCTATGTTTTCAGGATTTTTCAGCTAACAGCTGTAGAGAAAACAAAACATTTGTAAAGAACTTGGAAATATATAGTCTATACATGAATGAGTCCCTTGGCACTGATGTAAAGAATCAAAGTACCTTTAAGCTAATGTCTCCAACATTGAAAACCAAAAGAAATAAAAAGAAAGAAAGAAGAAAGAGAAATGCCTAAATGTGTAGCTTTAACATAGTACTTTTTTTGGTATTGCATATTTGGAGGAAAAGAATACTTTAGACCAAAAATTGTAACTTTCCCATCAATTACTGGGTGGTGCTTATGGCCTTTTAGCATAAGCTGTGTGCAGAATGTAGAAAAAAAATGGTTTTTCAGACCACTTCAGAGTGCCTCTGAAAAGAACCTCAATAACGGAGATGCCAACTTCAGTGATAGGTTTCACAGTCTTGGAATGGATCCCAGAAAATAGCAGAGGTTAACTAAGTAGATCAACCAGAAATTAGGAACACACACACAAACAGACACACACACACAAACACATACTATAAAGCATCAATACCATTACCTTTTGCTTCACTTTTGATAAAAAACCAAACACCTCGACTCACTTATGCAGGTACAGAATGAAACAGTAGCTTTCATCACGACATGCAATATTTTCCTGTTACTGGTTTGAAAACTGAGAGTTCAACATTGCCAGTTAGGATAGACAGAGAAGCATTTTCTAGCTCTTTTTGTTGGGCATGGTCTAAAATGAAATAATCTTTTACCACCCACAAATGCTTTGTATGCAATCTGGGAGAGCAGAATGGGTTTGAAGTACTCCTTTGTGAGCACATTTTAACTTATTTCCAGCTCTTTTGCTGCCTTTAGGCTGGAAAGGGCATCAGCTAGCCAGACATTTGTCTTCCCCATAGAACGTCCTGAAGCAGAGGCTTACCCCCTTTGAAATGTGAACAGGGTGAAGTGAATTCCATGTTGGTGAGCCAGGGAGTCTTAGACCTCAGATACTCTGCTGGTGCTTGTCTGTGAAACAACTGGGACTTTGCAACCATCTGCTGCTCATACCCAGGCCAGTTCATTCACAGCTGGGGGAGCTGTGATGCTTGGCAAGGGCCCCCTTCTTCTTTTGCAATGTGAGGCTTTATTCTCCCATGAATTTATCAAGGAAAAAAAAACCCAGTCATTGCTTCACACTTAGATCACTAATATAGGACCAAATGGTTTGTGTTTGTCAAGTGGGAGGTCTTGGAAATAAGACCTAAACATATCCAGAAAAAAAAAGCCAAAATAAATGAATTCCCTTGGCAGATACTGTATTGCATTCTTTTTTTTTTATCCTTAGAGGCAAACATTCATACTAAAAAAAAATATGTCCTGTGGAGTTAAAAATGAAGAAAAAGCTTATGCTCAGTTCAAATTCTTAAGATTGTATGTGATTTACAAATTCCAATTTTAATTAAATTAGGAAAGCGCACATGCTCACCTACTGGCCAGACTTCACACATACAGGCTTTGGGAGTTTCTGTTTAAATTTGATCTGTTTATAGTTTAGAATATGTCTTCTCAACCACATACACACACACACGTACACCCCAAACATACAAACAACATATTGCCCAGGCTGGCCTTAAGCTCACCTTGTAGCTGAGGATGATCTTGAAGTTCTCCTGCCTGTGCTGCCCAGGTGCTGGGATTACAGGTATGGACCACCCTGTTTATGGGGTGCTGGGAATCAAACCCAGGGCTTCCCAGGCAAGCACTCTACTGAGCGAGCAGCATCCAGCTCTTCTAGGTGGATTTTAGAGTACGGCAGTGACATGTCTGTCTGTTGTCATTTGACCTTGGTCTTTAGCATTTAAACTGTGGCAAATATAGAGAGAAATGCATAAAATGATTTTGTTGGCTGCTAAACTATATAGCAAATCATTGCAATGGGTAATTAATTATAAGACAAATACCTCTCTACTCATTATTCATGGAGGATAACCTGATAATGTCCAGACTTGTTACTTGCTTCTTTCTTACCGCAAGCCTAGTTTTGCCTATTTTAAAGGAAAACTTATATGAATGTTGAGTGTGTCCTTTTGTAGATTATTTAGGCTATATATTATGTCTATGATATTGTTAGTTTCTTCTCTGTCCTCTAAAACAAAATACTTCCAAAAGAGCTGTTCATATTGTCGATGTTTTTACTTTTCTCTCCTAAGCCCATTCCTATGGCACTTTAGTTCTGGACACTCTGCCCAGGTCTATGGAACTGTCAGGTCTCTGATGACCTCACCCTTGCCATTTGGTCTCAGTGTTCACTGCACTTCACCCATTCACAGCCCTGTCCCAGCTGCCCCCTCTTTCTCCTCCTGCCCAGGACAGTATGTACTTCCCTGCTTTCCTCCTCAGAGTCTGTGCCCTTCTGTCTGCTCTGCTGATCTTTCAGCTCCTTCCGTGTTTGTTCTTCTCTCTCCACTCTTTGGACATTTCTTGTAATCTCTCTCTGTGTATACTGAGGACTCAGAAAGTGATAGTTCCTGCCCTGAGCCTCAGACCCCTTTACCCAGCCTCCCGCTCAGCATCTTCACGTGGCTGTCCAGTAGATAGTTATTTCTAGCTCAATGTGCTCCCAGTAGGATCTTCATGATCCCCTGTCTGCAGTCGCTGTCATCTCCATCTTTCAGATTAGTTAGGTCCTAAACCTTGGAGTCAAGGTTCATCCCTTACATTCTATCATACCCCATATATATATATGTATATATATCTTCTTGGCCTCATTTTCAAAATAAACCCAGAACACAATTGCTTCAGTTAATTCAGTGGCCATTACAGACTGCCCTAACCTTTGGATTATTGCAGGGACCCTTTAATTAATCCTTTTATAGCCTTTGTTCTCTTCGATCTATTCTCAAAAAGAAAGAAAAGTAAGGAAGAAAGAAAGAAAGAAAGAAAGAGAAAAGAAAGAAAGAGAAAATAAAAGAAAAAGGTTTTCCTTTTAAAATACATGTGGGGGTTGGGGGGGGGGAGAGATGGCTAAGCAGTTAAGAGTGCTTGCTGCTCTTCCAGATGACCTGGGTTCAGTTCCCAGCACCATGCTAGGCAGTGCACAATCAAACCAAGTCTAACTCTAACTCCAGGGAACTCTTATGCCCTCTTTTGGCTTCTGTGGGTATGCCCAGGCATGTGAACAAATACTCATACATAAATAAATAATAATTAAAATTTTTTACATATATGTATGTAGGTATACCATGGGTGTGCCTGGTGCCCACGGAAACCTGAAGAGGGTGTCAGATTCCATGATGGTTGTGAGCCATCATTTTGGTGCTGGGAATCAAATAAATCGCTGGTTCTTTAGAGGAGCTAACCACTGAACCATCTCTGCGGCCCCTAAAATAAAAATTTTAGTAAAGCGTACCCATCACATCATGACACTTTTCTGCTCCAAACACTCTGGTGGCTTTCCAGTTCAGATGTTGTCAAAGCCCAAATCCTTGCAATAATTATAAGATCCCTCTGATCTTTTGTTCATCCTTTTCCTACCTCTTCCTCCTCCTCCTGGGCTCCTGGCTTTCCTTGAGTGTAGCAGTGACCATCTTTACACTTCAGCTTCCTCTGTTTGGACTGCTCATCTCTGGGTGTCTATATGGTTTTCTCTATAACCCACGTCTCCCAAGTCTTTGTTCAAACGTCTGCAGGTGATATTTGATCTTGCCTGACTTCTTACTTTGCAAAGAAAAATGTCCCCTTTTTCTTTGCTTTTTTTCTCCATAGAGTTTATTCCCCTTCTAAAACGCCATGTGTATACTTTTCAGTTCCATTATCACTAGAATGAGACCATCACAGGGGCAGAAATTTTAATTTTGTGTGTGTGTGTTTCAGTCTCAACTCCAGTGTGTGGACTCGGGTGTAGTGTGTCAGAATTGTTCAGGTACTTTTCTGGTTTTTTTTTTTTTTTTCCTGCTGATTGACTGTTCTGACTTTCTCTTTTTATTGCTGGAAATTCAGTGGTTCTCAACCTTCCTAACACTTGTGACCCTTTTAATACAGATGTGGTCACCCCAACCATAAAAATTATTTCATTGCTACTTCATTTTGCTACTGTTCTAAATCATAATGTAAATACCTAATATACAGGATATCTGCTATGTGACTCCCCATGAAAGGGTCATGGCCCCCAGATGGAGAACTGCTTCATTAGATGATGGTATTAATTACTTTGGATATTCTGTGGTCAGAATAGATAACGACTTATAGTAGGAAAAATCTAATTTAGGTCAAGATTTTGGAGGACTAGGTCCTTAGTCTCTTGCTTCCACGCATCTGAGCAGACTAGCATGAAGGCAGGAGCAGGTGGAGGAAGACCTGTTCACATCACAGCAGACAGAAAGCAGCTAGGGATAACATACCCCATAAGACCCAACCTCCTTGAGTTCGGTGTCTCCCACCCCCACCCCTGCCACCAAAACCTTTAGAACCTTCTCAGATACCATCTGTGGAGTGAGTGATCAAATCAGAGAGCCTCTCGGAGACTTTTCAGATCCAAACTGTGAGAACGGATAGAACACATTTACAAAGTTGATTCCCCAAATACGGCTATTTAGGCTCCTCCCTTCTTTTTTCAACCCC